CCCTCCAAGATCTGGCTCCAATGTCAAAAGCTAATAGAATGTGGATATACGTTAGGAATATTCATTAGTAGCATAAAAGCTGTGTTTTGTGCAACACACGTGTCCTTTGTGTAGCATATGTGTATGGTATGTGTGTAGGGGTGTAGTATGTGTGGGGGGGATATGGGGTTGTGTGGGGGTGTGTGATATGTGTATGGTATGTTTGTATGGTGTGTGTAGTGTGTGTGCATGTTATGTGATGTGTGGTGTGTGTGTGTGTGCAATGATAACAGTGTGTGCTGTACATGGTATGTGTTTATTCTGCATGATGTTGTTCTGTGTGTCTGTGTGTTGTTTGTGTGTGATATATGGTGTGTGTGGTGTGTTGTCTGTAGATTGTGTGTGGTGTATAGGGTTGGGGTGTGTGTGGAACATGTGAGCTGTACAGAGACATGTGTGTGATATGGATGTGTGGTGTGTATGTGGCATGGGCTCTGTGTGTTGTGTGAGCGTGTGTGTGTGTGTGTGTGGCATGTGTTGCAACTGATTTGTTTCTGAAACGTCTTCTGGATTACGAATGTTGCCTGGCCCCAGAGAGGAAGGCCAGACAATTAAACCAGCCTTAATCAGAAGGAGAGACTCAGACTCTGACTCTTCCTGCTCAACCCCCTGCCAGGGCTCCCCTGCCCTCAGGAGAAAGGCCAAGCCCTCAGTCTGGCTTTGCGGGGACATCACCAGGCCCCCCCCACCTCTCCCGTCCCCACCAATATCCATTCCCCAGACACGCCAGGTCGTTTGCTGCCTCCGTGGCCTTGCCCCAGCTGTTCCTTCTGCTTGGAGTGGCTCTCCCTTCATGGCCCACAGCCCCCTCGTCTACCTGGAAAACCTGTAATCACCCCCAGTCCCGGCTGTACCCCATCCTCCTGATCAGCCATCTCAGGCAGAGCTGAGGAAGCCTTCTTGACAACAGCAGGCTCACCCACCTTCAGGCCTTTGCACACGCTGTTCCCTCTGCCTGCTCGTGTCCTTTTCCTCTTCTACAAATAAACCGCAGCCCATCCTGAAGACACGGCTCACAGTCACCTCCTCAGTGTCCCCTCCTTGACACCCACCCACTGGGACGTCAGTATCTTCCCTCTTCTGAGCCCCCAGACCCCTCCCCCACAGCCCTGTTCCCTCTGCTCTGTGATGTCTCCCCTCCTGGTCCTGGAGGCCCTTAGGGCAGGGGCGGGGTCTGAGTCCCTTGGGGTCCCCATGGAGACCTTGGAATCCTGCAGGAACTCACTTCAGCAAACAAATCCCGGGCACCCAACCTGAGCCAGCCCTTCTGCTGCCCAAGGCTGGAAACCTCGATGTCAGTGACATCGGGCCCTGCCCTCAGGCTCCCGGTCCAGCCAGAGGGATCCACGCACAAAGAGGGATGTGTACTGAACTCACTCAACTCTCTCTTGACGCTTTAGCGGTCAGGGTGCTGTGGGCAGATGAGGAAACTGAGGCTCAGATAGGGACGGCCCTTCCCTCACTCTCTGAAGTCCCTTCTCCCCTCCCCGCCCACAGTGGCCCTTCTCATTGAGACACTCCAGGCCACTCTCAGTCTGCCCAGTGTGTGGTTTCCATGGGGAAGTGGGGATGCTCCCAGTGTCACCGTTTGGCTCCTGCTTGCCCTGTCACACCTGGAGCACCCTCAGTGTTCTCTGGTCTTCTTTCCTAGGCAGCAGGGTTGCTGGGTGCTCCAGGACCATGGGTGGGGGTGGGTGAGAGACGGGTGGGGTGGTCGAGGGGAAGTGGGAGACCCAGGGTGACTCAAGGTCAGGGGTGTGGAGCTATGGAATTGGAAGCACTGAGTCCCTCCCAGCGTGAAAACCAGCAGGCGCTCCTGCCCTCACTTCCACACCCAGTGGGGAAAGTGGAATGCAAAGCAGCCATCCTCTCTGCCCCTCTGACCTTCCTCTCTGCTCTCTGGTTCCCCTCCCGCCTGGACAGGCCACCCTGACCTAGTCAGCCTGGCCTGGCATCAATTAAAACACCTACTGGTCGGCTCCGGCCCTGTTTATCTGTTCCCAGGGCAGCGCATCCTCTCTCTCCCCTGCGGTTGCACACCTCTTAGTGGCATCCCCACTGAAGCACCTTCCAGGAGAATCCCTCCCTCTGCACACCGTGAGTGAGTAATAAACTTCTGAATGACTTGTGGGTGCTGGCTTAGGTGGGTTGTGTTTGGATGTCCAACTTTCACAAGGGGCACTGTGCCCCAAGGCTGAAGTGCAGGGCACAGTCTAGTTTTCCACACGGGGAACTCACCTTTAGGATCGCAGTTCTCGCTCACAGTCAGGGCCCCGATTTTTTGAGTGTCATTAAGCAGGTTGCAGCCAGCTTGGGATGTGCACCCCTGGACTCTCAGGTTGGTGGAGACATCCTCTGTGGAAAGGAGGAGAGAGTAAGAGAGGGAGACGCTACCACTGGGACCATCCAAGCTTCAGGGGGAGGTGCAGCTCTGGGAAGCCAGGCACACCCTCCTCCTGTCCCAGGCCTCAGCTCCCTCCCTCCCCAGAGACCCAGACCTTGGTCCTCAGACCTCCCTCTTCAGTGCTCCGCAGGGACCCTGCTATCCCAGCTCACCTCCCCTGATAAGGAGGATCCCGTTGTAGCAATGCATGCTCCCCTCAGGGCAGGGAAGCTCTGTTGCAGACAGACAGCCTTCTGTGGACAAGCAGACTGGGCACCGAAGGGACCCTGGGACTGGGAGGTGAGAGCAAGGGGGAGGGAGGATGAGAGGGCTCTGCCTTCAGATCAGATGCCTTCTCTCCGCCCCCCTTTTGCTTGCCCCAGAAATCAACCTCCCTGGTCTCCTTAAAATGTGCCCTCTCATGCAGGCCTGGGGTGCAGAGAATAGGGACGTCTGGCCAGGGAGAGGGCAAGAGAGGGAAGGAACATGAGATCTGGAGAGGGGCACCTGGGACTGAAAACAGGAGTGGGTGCTCTGGGAAGAACAAGTGACTTCACCCACAAGTTCCACTAAACAGTCCAAGAAGACAAGAAATCTGTGTTCACAAACTATTCCAAAGAGTGGCATCATGCAAAACATTGCCCCAAACCTGATTTCTTTTTTTTTTTTTTAAAGATTTTATTTATTTTATTTTTCCCCCCAAAGCCCCAGTGGGTAGTTGTATGTCGTAGCTGCACATCCTTCTAGTTGCTGTATGTGGGACTCGGCCTCAGGATGAAGGGAGAAGTGGTGCCTCGATGCGCACCCGGGATCCGAACCCGGGCCACCAGCATCGCAGCGCGCGCACTTAACCACCAAGCCACAGGGCCGGCCCAACAAACCTGATTTCTGATACCAGACAAGCACAGTGCAAAGTTACAGGCCCATTTCACTTAGGGACAGGAAATGACAAAACACTAAGTAAGACATGAATGAACTAAACCCAACAGTATAGCAGAAAGGAGCATGCAGCAGGTTAAAGCAAAGGCCAGAGTGTGAGGTGAGTGGTTGAACATCAGAAAACGAGCCCAGTTTGCTGCTCCAGGCCTGTTAGAAGAAGCTGTGCTAAGGGAGGGCGTCCTGGGGAGCGTGGACAGGGGGGCGGGTGGGAGGAAGGGGAAAGGAACAGTCCCTCTGTGCTTACCTCAACCCCCTCAGCCCTGTTACTCCCCTCCTCCCCACACCCCTTTCCTCTCCTCCTCCTCTCCCTCCTCCCTCAGGCACCTGTTGTGGGAGGCAAGTCCCAGAGAGGGAAGGTGTTGGAGATGTTGTTGCACAAGTCACTCTCGCGGCACACATGGGTGTAGGAGACGATGGAGATGCCCGGGCCTGCCCTGTGCTGGGTGACAAGGACCTCCTGATCTTCCTCCGGGGTGCAGCCCTTGCTGAGCACCAGATGCACTTGGGGTCCTGGACCAAGAGAGGCAGGGAGGCAGGGGTGAGGTCAGGACTCCAGGTCCTCGAGGGAGGGTCTGCAACGTAGCCTGGGGTGAGAGACTGGAGAGGAGGTGACTGGATGCCAGAGTGTGCCCCTGCTGGGGAGGGGATGGCTCCTGGTAGGAGAGGAGGGGTCTTCTGAGTTCCCAGACAGAATGCAGGTAGGACTGGGCAGGAGGAGGGATGTCTCTACCCAGGAGAGGGTGGGAGTCGGGCTTGGGGCCTATGGGTCCCTTCTCACCATTCACAGTGAGTATCAGTGTGTCTTGACAACCCCAGCCGTCCTCACAGGCTTGCTGATTAGTCACCGTCCACTGGAGCGGCATTTCCGATACATTCTTCACAGCCTGACCTCTCCCCGACTGACAGGTCAGGGCCTGCACTCCTGCGATGAGAAGAGCAAATCCATCTCAATCCACTCTCCCGAGAAGCCCCCCCCCAGGTTGGGGTCCTCACTCACGGGGCAGCAGGAGGGTGATACCCTGGAGGATCAGCAGGAGGGCAGGGCTCATGATGAGGGCAGCTGGAACTCTCTCGTTCCTGCTCTTTCTCCCAGGAAACTGAGACCTTTTATATCTCACCCCGTTCAAGGCAGCCCAGGATTGGGGTGGGGAGGGGAGGGCCTTGCTAAAGGATGCCTGGGCCCACCCTCCGAGTCACAAGGGCTTAAAGGCCTAGAAATCTGAATCCTCTCTCCTCCCTCAGATCCAAGAGTCCAAGCCCCAAACCTCTTCCTCCTTCACACTCAGGAGTCCAGGCCCCCAGCCCCTCCTCCCTCAGACCTAAGATTTTGGGTCCCCAACCCCCTCAACAGTTAGAGACTGATGCACGCTGGACCACAGGCCCCACTGGTCCAGCTCTTTCCTCCTGATCGCAGCTATGTGGGTCTCCACCCCTACCCTGTTTCAGGGTAGTTTGGGAAGGTGGTTTCCTCATCTCTCATGGCAACCTGGTCACCTTCAGGCCCCAGATGGGGAAATGGCCCAACTGCCTCTGAGGACATTGTGCGGTGGGTATTGGCCTGTCCCCACGTTCTCTCTATCCTAACCTCTGCTCCCACGGATTCCTACTTCTCTTTTCTTTCTCTTTCCTTCCTACGTTGCTTTCCTTTTTATTCCCTTTTTCACAACCTTCCTTCATGCTTTTCTTCCTCTTTTATTCTCTCCCCTCCCAGCACAACAGGGGCCCTAAAGCCTCCACTTCCTGCCACCCAGGACGGAGCTAAGGTATGGCAAGGGGAGGGGCTGGAGACTGAATATCTTCGGGGGAATTAGTATATTCTTTGACAAAGCAAAGTTTCTTTGCCAGAAACAGATGGGAACGGTGGTGTGCTAGAAAACCAGCTTTTCAGGAAACAGCACCAACAAACCCTGCCTTGTACTGTTGGCCCATTTCTGTGGTGTAAACACTTCTAGCACATCTGATCTTAAGCTACCAACAGCTTGACAACTATCTCACACAATTCCTAAATATTTAACAATTGGCTTTTGTAAGCCTGTGCCAACCAGCTCTAGCACACTGAGTAGGAGAGAGACAGGAGAGATTGAGGGGTATCTGTCAGTGACCGCAGAGGCTCGATGTGGGTGTCTGGTAAGGAGAGACGAACGGGAGAAAAGAGAGGACGAGAAAAATATGGAAGAGAAAGAGCAATGAGTGTGTACCTCCTCATTGTAGATTTACTTTTGACACCTTTACCAGTTCTATTTTTATTTGCAAGTTTAAAATTTGACATCTAGGTGGAGACACGATTCTCTCATCTCCCATGCATCTACACCACTACTGTGGCATACTGTAGGTACTCAATAAATATTTATTGAATGAATGGATGAATGAATGAGTGGAGAGGGGAAGATGGGAACAGAGCCATCACTACATTTGTGTAGGTTGTGCCCTGTAGAAACACCATCCTTCCCCAACAGTTTACACTGTTGCCATCTAGAATGGCACCATCTGGAGCTGTGTGTGGCCACAAATAGTGTCCCTGGAGGAAAAGGGGAAAGAAGGGTGGCCAAAGAGGTACATAGACTCGTAGGTAGTGAATCAAATGTCTTGTTTTAGTCAATAAATATTTACCAAGTCTGCACTTCGTGCCACACACTCCTTTAGTTGTTGGGGATACAGGGAGACCAAAAAGAATGAGGCCACTGCTTGCGGTAAGCTTGTAGCCTAGTGACAGAGACAAACACTAACAAATGCATGAACACAAAAAAATATTAGATGGTGCTGGGTGCCCTGCAGAGAGGGAAAACCAAGTAATGTGAAAATAAATGACTGAGCTGGGGTCAGGGAGGGCCTCCCTGAGGAGGTGACATTTGGGCTGAGAGCAGAATGAAAAGAAAGAGCCAGCTATGGAAAGACATGTGGGGAGAGCATTCCAGGCAGAGAGAAGAGCAGGTGCAAAGGCTCTGAGATGGGACCACGCACAGCTTATGTGAGGATTAGAGAGAAAGCAGGTGGCTGGACTGTGGTGGGGAAAAGGAAGAGTGACAGGAGATGAGAGTAGAAAGGCTGGCAGGGCCAGCAATGCAGGACAAGTCAGGTCACTAAGGCTACCTTCCTGGGACTCCCCATATTTCAAGCGACAAATGCAGAGGCTGGGGGTGTGGCTGTTTAGCAAAAAGTCTGACAGTCCTTAGTGTAACATTCTGTCTGCTATTAGGATGATTCTGCTGCTCCCCGATTGTGTAGCCTCATGTCCCCTCTCTGAACTTCATCATCCTCTTCTGTAAAGTAGGTGTGATGGTTATCTGCACCCCATGAATTGTGGTGAATGCTGAGATCTATATATAAGCCAAAGCAGATTCTCGACAAATGATAAAAATGGTTAATATGATGAGCCCTGACTCTGTTCCAAGCCCTAGTCCAAGCACTTTGTATGTTTCAAATCATTGAATCATGACCACAACTAGAAGGGAGGTCCTATTAATAGCCCAGTTTTATAAGTAAAGAAACTGAGCCCCAGAGGAGTTAAATGACTTGCCCAAGGTCACACAATGTGGCCGAGATAACTGTCCACCAAAGATCCATGCTCCTCTCAGGGTGTAAAGATGTTACAAGTGGTGACTGCCCAGCCAGGAACTACATCTCCCAGAGCCCCTTGCCTCTAGGTGGACCATGTGACTAGTTCCCACCAATGCAATGTGGATGGAAACTGCCCAGCCAGGGACTACATCTCCCAGCACCCCCTTGCCTCTAGGTCACTGTGTGACTAATTCCCACCAACGAAATGTGGGCAGAAATGACTGGTGTCACTTCTGAGACTGAGTGGTTAAGAAGCAGGAGTGCCTTCTCCTTCCTCCATCTATATTTAGTCAAGGGTGACCTTGAAGCCACATGGAAGACTCTCAGTCCTCGTAGACCTGATATATAGTCGGGTGTCACACAATAAACCAAAGAACAATAATAATAGTAATGTGGTTCAGTATGCTATACTGAAAAAAGGCATGCTCCGGGTGTTTTTTGTTTTTGTTTTTTTTCTTCCTTTTTATGTAAAAGATGGTGGTCTGGGAAATCTTCACTGAAAAGGCAACATGTAAGCAAAGACATCATGGTGGTGAAGGAAGGAGCACTGAGTCTCTGTGGGCGTGTTTGAGCAGCAAAGAAGAGGCCCAGCTGGAGCAGAGAGAGGGAGAGATGAGAAGAGATGAAATCAGAGAGGGAGGGCCCTGATGGTGAGGGCCTCCCAGGCCTTGTGGCCAGGACTGTGGCTTTACTCTGAGTGGGCTGGGGAGCCACTGAGGGTCCAGAGCAGAGGAGGGACGTGAGTGATCTGTGTCCTGTCATGATCCCTGTGGCTGCTGGGTTGAGAGCAGGGAACCTGGTGAGGAGGCAACTGCAGTAATTCAGGTGAGAGGTGACGGTGGCCCGAACACTTGCAAAGGAGCCCGTTTCTGGATGTGTTCTGAAAGTGCAGTCCAGAGGATTTGCTGAGGGATTGAACGTGGGGTGAGAGAGAGAGAGAGAGAGAGGAATTGGGAAAACTCCAGTGTAGCCCCTCCTGAGATGGGGGAAACTCTGGGGCGACAAACTGAGATCAGAAATTTGGCCCTGGATCAAGAATCTGAGGGCGTCGTGAAATGCCTTTTAGAGATTAGCTGTCAAGTCATAGTCAGATGTCAGCAATAATGTCCATTTTGCCTCTCTGGTTCACTGCTGTGCTCCCAGGGCCAGGACTGTGCCTGGTACATAGCAGGAGCCCATTACATGTTTCCGGGATCAAAAAATGAACAGGGGATTGACAATCAGAGTGTTCCCTGGACACCCCAAACACAGTAGTTCTAAGTGACTGAGAAAATACAGAGATGCATCAAGTTACCGTGACTCAGAGGCCCTGATAAACCGGTTTCTTTTTATAAATCACATGAGGACCTCCATGGGGTATTCGTGCTGTGAGCTTGTGGAAGTAAATGAAGTTAAACATGAAAGTGCTTGGGTGATACATATAGATTTACAGGCTGGTCCCTCCACTGTTTCTGGGATGAGAAGCATGGCCTAAGGCCTAGCTCTGTGAGAACAGAGAGCAGGGAAAGGGGTGGAGGGTACCCGTCAAGGTGTGAGAGGTCTTAGGGAAAGAGGAGAGTGGAAAGAAAGTCTTCTGAGACTCCCTGAGCACGTACTGTCTGCAGATCACGTACGTGATCATAATCACTTCTATCATCCCACCCACAGGGTCATTTTTCATAACAGATGGAAGGGTATTTTTCTCCCATCAGCAACCAGTTCTCCAACTGGGTGTCCCACAATTCAATTCAGTTCTGACACAACTATTCGGAGTCAGTGCAGACCCCACAGGTTAAAGGATCAGTCCCACATACTGCCTCCTTCAAATGCCAATCGCATTTGGGGCACCGAGGCCACCCACATTTCTGCTTGGCCGACTGCAAGTTCAGAGGTTCTCACAACTCCCCATTAGGTTTCACAGTTCTCTTGAGCTACTCACAGAACTTAGGAAAGTGCTTTACTTACTGTGACTGGTTTATTATAAAGGGCACCACCCAGGAGAACCGAATAGAAGAGATGTGTAGGGCACAGTATGGGGGAAGGGGCACAGAGCTTCCACGTCATCCCTGGGTGCACCACCCTGCCAGCATGTTGATGTGTTCCCCAAATGGAAGGTCTCTGAACCCCATCAGTTAGGGGTTTCTATGGAGGTTTCATTAGGTAGGCATAAGTGATTAAATCACTGGCCATTGGTGATTGATTCAATCTCCAGCCCCTCTTCCTTCCCCAGAGGGTGGGAGGTGGGTTTGAAAGTTCCAAGATTCTAATTAAAACTTGGTCTTTATAGCGACCAGTCTCCATCCTAAGCTATCTAGGGGCCCACCAGGAGTTACCTCATTAGAAGAAAAGACACTCCTATCACCCTTATCACTCAGAAAATTCCAAGGATGTTAGGAGCTCTGTGCCAAGAACCAGGGAGAAAGACCAAATATCTTCCTATGATACCACCTAGGGAAACTGAGGCTTCACCAGGTGGGATCACTAGCCCAGAGTCACACAACCTGCAAATGGCAGAGCTAGGATTAGGACCCAGATACCGTACGTTGTCTATGGGCACTTGGCATCTATATTGCACCCCTATATCAGAGGGACTGAAAGCCTACATACTACTCTTTTTTCACTTCCCAGCAAATATTTCCAAATATAATTTAAATTCTGCCCCTGAGAAACACTTGCGTGAGATTTGGAAGGTGGGAGGGAGATGGAAGCCATGATTTCTGTTATGGGTTTGGCTGATGGGCGGCAGACACAAACTTTATGGGAAAAGGCAGGTGTTTCTTTCCTCTGGGTTGGGGCTGTGGCAGTGTGACCTTGAAATCAGACTTTCAGTGGCAACTCTCTAACCTCCATTTCTTTAGCTTTTCAGTTGTTTATAAGAACCAAATTCCCTGCATTAAAGACTTTTCTGTTAGAAGTACCTAGAGGGGTTTCTGTTTTCCTGATGAAACCTTGAATGGTACAGTTAACCTTTTACCAATGTCTATGGTGTTTTTACCAATGTAGCATAAATCTGGGGGCCAGGAGTAGAAGTGAGAGCAAAGGGAGGATTGGCGATCAGAGAGAGACCTGAGAATGGGAGTGAGGGTGCCTGGGTCCTTGGTATGAGTCTCACGAAAAT